CGACTTGTTGCGCTAGTGTGTGTGTGTTTACAAACTCCCTCTTCGCCTTGGGTTTTTCCCTGGGGAAAAACAAGAACCATTTGCTGAGAAATTCTTGTGTGCTTGATTTTATTGGTTTCTAATTCGGCTGCTTGATCAAACTGAGTTTGACGAAAGTTGACACCTATTTCCATGGCAGCCGCAGGGCCAAGTGGAGAGATATTTTTAGCTCCCACCCTCCCAGCCCTGGGTGACTATACATTACATGTCTGGATGCGTGTTGCAACCTTTGCCTCTGGCATCGTTGCGGGGGACTGGAGATGGCATCCTTTGACATGTATCTTCGCCGAATCTGGGAAGTCCAATCCGCCTGTTTGCCTGCTTTCGGTATGTTGTGACATGTCCACCTGTTTCAGTGATGTGCGGTCTTGGATGTGCAAATTTGATATTAATCCTTTGATGGATTATTCGAGAATCGAATAAAGAAAATTTTACAGATTTTCCGGATATATTCATTGGATTGATGACTGGCGTATATTGGGAATATTGATTCTCACTCTTGACTTCGCCAATCTGGGGATTTGCTCCTCTTCCACTTGGGTGGAGTTTGGGGTGGTGGGCAGGAGGAGTTTGTTCTACACGCACTCCATCAATGTAAACAGTTTGAGCGGCTTCCTCTGGGGTGAGATCAAAACCTTCCTGAAAGGGGAAGGGCGTCAATATGATTTTATCTTCCTCCAAGAAACGCACCGCGCATCATTCAGTACCTTTCAGATTGATGGATGGATGGCGGTGGGATCGTCTACAAAACGCAGGGAGGGGGTACTCACACTTGTGCACCCCAAGTATGACCCCTCCTTAGTGCGGTGTCAGGAGGTCATACCAGGCAGAGTACTCCGAGTGAAAGTGTGCCATGCAGGTGCCGCTATAGAGACCGTCAACATTTACCAGCATGTCTGGATTCACAATGACGAACCTGACGCTAATCGGCAAGGACGACAGAACCTACTCGATAAATGCTCCGGAGTTATTCAGGGGGTGGCTAGAAGGGACACTTTGATACTTGCCGGAGATTTCAACGCGGAGGTACATTGCACACCAGGCTCAGTAGGCCCATGCATCAATAAATCCGAATATCACATTGCACTTGATCCGCAATCGCTTACCAGATTTGTGCAGGAGAATGAACTCGTGGTCTTGAACACGTGGACAATGAAAGATCCGTGCACCAATTATACCCGTACTGGTAACTCCCAGATTGACTTTGTCATGGTTAAGCCAGCAAGCGCCGATCAGAGAGCGAAGCAGGTGAAAAAGACAGAGGCCCCTTTTGGAGGCTGGAAAGAAATGACGCATAATGCACTTGTGGCAGAGGTCCGCTTCATCCGGCATTTCCACCTTCCCCGTGCAACCGTCCAACAGGCTCCGCCCTGCTCTACGAAGGATTTCGTTAATGCCTACAGGAAGCGCGACCCCAGAATGCAGGAGCTGCAGCTAGATGTGCACGCAGCCCTACAACAAAATACAGGACACACGGTCGAGGACATCAATCATGTCCTTTTCCACAAGGTTGCGGCCCTGTTTCCAGCATCTACTACAGGTCGCACGGGCAACAGCCAGCGTCAGGCGCAATACAAAGCCATCTTTCATGCCTGGAGGAGACTCTCACCCATCCTGACGGGGAGGGTGGCGCCACACCTGCGCTGCCCACACGAGTGTATCACATGTGGCAAAGGCGTAAAGACCTGGAAAGGTGCAAACCTTTCAGCCCCCTTGGGGTCATTCGTACTTGGAAGTGGATTGTCCTCTTTATACAGAATGGCAAACGCAGCAAACAATACCATCAGCAGCATCACTCTTGGACATCTGCAGCAGGCAGAGAGAGCTGCTCAGTCACACAACATAAAGCGCCTATATGGGGCGGTCAAGCGTCTCATGCCCTGGAGACACAAGCAACGCATCATGTTTAGACACCCGGATGGCTCACCCATATCATTGCTGCAGGAACACAGAGCCCTGGTAAAGCGCTGCCAACAACTCTTTGCACCCGCTGTTGAGGTACCGGCCCGCGCCGGAGAGGCACTGGCAGTGCCAGTGCGAGCAGCGGAATGGCAGGAACAGCTTCAATGCACTCCGGTAGGCAAGGCCGTGCCGGCGGACTGCGCTCCGGCCACTGCGTGGAAGGCGTGCTCACATGTGCTTGCTCCGTCACTTGCGAAAGCAGCAGGCGCACTTCAACATGTAAAGACGACACTGCCATCTGCTTGGAAGGATCCCCAACTATGCTTCATTCCTAAGCCCCACAAACCTCCCATTTCTGCCTCGGCGCTCCGTCCCATAGGCTTGTTACGACCTGATAGTAAAGCCCTGGCTGGACACATAAAAAATCTCATTCTCGGGCAGGCGGGCCCAAGCCTCGCGCAATCTCCTCAATTTGCCTACTTGCCTTTCAGGGACACTACGGACGCGCTTGCTAGAGTCAACGCTTGTGTAAGGGAGATAAAGGCCAACATGAAGGCGTTAGGAGGCAACAGGTTCGTTGTGAGGCAGCGCAAGGAGACTGGACAAATGCCCGCGGAAGCCGGAGGGTGTCTGCTCTCAGTTGATCTCAGTCAAGCCTTTGACAGAGTGAGCAGGATCAAACTTGATGAAGCACTGCAGGCGCACCAGGTAGACGCAGACATACGATCCACGGTAGCGGCCATCCATGCAGAGGCTGCGTACAAAGTTGTGGATCGCTTCCAGCAAACGTCGGTTGCCACAACGCAAGGTATCCGCCAAGGTTGTCGCCTGGCGCCGGCCTTATGGGCCATACTCTCGTCGCAAGTCCTGTGGGACCTGACCACACCCGAGGAGAATCCTATGCAACTTCCGCTCACACTCTATGCAGACGACCATCTGGGGCATTGGCTTCTGAAAACGACGGAGGACATCAAAAACATGGATGCCTTCATTGTTAAGCTTTTCAGCACCCTTGAATCATATGGGCTTATGGTTAATCCGGAAAAATCTAGCCTTGTGAGTAGAGTTCAGGCGTATCGGCTCAACAAGCTTGTGCGCAGCCGAACGGTCTTTGTAAAACAACAACCACACTGGAAAATAAGAGACAAAAACATGGAGTTTCTTATTCCCATCTGCGACACGATCACTTATCTGGGTACCAAGCTATCCCTCAAGGAGAGCTCTGACCCGACTCTGGACTTCCGAATTGCGGAAGCCGCGTCCAAGGTCACAGCGCTGCGGAAAAGCATCAGGGCCAGACAAGGCTTCTCGCGTCATCGTAGGGTTCGTGTGTGGCAGACTTGCGTAGTCAGCAGTGCCATGTACGGCCTCCTCACCACACAATTCAATGGGCACATGATATCTAAACTCCGAGCCTGGTTCCACCGTCAGCTCAGAGCTGTGGTCAACATGCCGGCGCGCCTAACAAAAATCAACAATCGCGAGGTCAGAGAGCAATTTGGGCTTGATGATCCCATGCAGATGCTCCGTGCTAGAGTTGAGAGCAAAATAAGTCAACTGCAGTCGGACAACTGCGATCCTGCCACTAAAGGCCCAGGCATTATCTCCTTCTGGCAAGATCAACTGCGCAGCTTGCAGCAGGCCGAAGCCCAAGACACGAGTGCACACATCATTGAGGCCTCTGGCCACGGACAGCACGCATGCCCCACATGCGGTCTTTACTACTCTACCAAAAAGGCGCTTAGACAACACCAGGCACTCAGGCATGGACAGATACAGGCCGACCGTGTCAACATTGACTATAAGCCGGAACAACATTCCATTGGAGGAATGCCGCAATGCAGACATTGCAGAAGAAAGCTATACAATTGGTCGGCGCTCCAGGGCCATATTACTTTGAACGTTTGTAACTGGTACCGGCGTCAGGCTGAACCAACATCACAGACGCAGGCGCAGGAGATCCTAGTCCGGCTACCCATGTAGAAATGACACAGCCCACACCAGTTCCTCAGCTGCACAACCTGGTCCGATTGTGAACACTAACGCGCTAGAACCACTGCAGCCACAGCCGGACGGGCGGTGCTCCGCTTCCGACGAAGACAGCGCACCGCTGCTGAAACAGGAAAGAGTTCTCCAGCACCTGCAACAGCACGAAGGAGTCCTCACACAGGCCGATCTCCACCGTGCACAGCTGGAATGCGGAGCAGAAGAAGGCCCTGCCATCAAGCAAGGACAACCTCTCCCACGATCAGGCCAAGCAAGCCGTAGCCAACCTGCTGAGGAACACGGCGAAGGACGGCGTTGTGCATCGGCTCCAGAGCCTCAAGCCACTCCGCCCGGACCTACAGGCAGATGTCGTAGTGATGCTCCTGACCCTGACCATCCATCAACATGCAGCAGAGGTCTACCGAGACCTGGACCTGCTGGCCAACAACTGCGCAGGCAAGGTGATCGGACTTCGGCTACGCGGAGAAAGGGTCAGCAAGACGTCCCTGGCGAAGGAGACAACACTGAGTCGGCCACGGCCCACTGCGCACCAATCGGGCTCGACAAGTGGGAAGCAGAGGGAAGTGCGGTCTCCGCTGCCCTCAGACATTGCAGGCAAAAGCGCAGTATCTCGTCCTTCTTTCAGGGGCGAGGCTCGGTTCAGGCACGGATGACGACCTCAACCCCCTCTGAGGGTCATGGAAGAGATAAACCTTGTGGGGAAGACGCATCAGTGCAGAACAGAGCCTCCACTCCACAGGGGATCCATCACACGCATGGAGCAGCAGGCGACATTCCTAGGCAGCAGTCTCAACCTCCTGCTGACAAGGTTCGAGGGCCTGCGCGCACGGGTGTATCCAGGGGACCACAAAAAGATGGCTCGCTGCTGTCATGGCGGATTGTGGATAACAACTCCAGTGTTGTTAATCCGCGCAACATTTGGTATGCAAATGCTGTTCTGCACATGCTTCACCAGGCTAGATCCCGCGAAGGACTGATAACGGGTCTAGGTAACTTGAATGGCTCACTCACGCAGGCCGCCAGATCAAATCAGGCAGTCAACATCGCCAGGGACCCAGCATGGTCATACGTGTGGCCAGGATGGCAACGACCCACTCGCCAGCATGACGCAGCGGAGTTTCTTCAACACCTTTGTCAGCGCACGGCGTGCGCAGCTCTGCAGGGGGGATGGGAGGCACGGAGGCACGAAGAAGGCGCATATGCGATACTTGATGAGTGATCTCACACCGGAGGTGGGATAGCACTTTATTCTTAAACAGGGTTCGATCATGCTTGCCAAGTGGATGTGCAAACAGTGCTCTGCTGGCCGCCCAGCCCAGGACATTAGTGGGCTCAACGAAGTTTTGGACCGCGTCTTGAAGCGATCTCGAGAGTAAAAGGAAGTTTAAGGGCTTCGCCCTGTTTAAACCGCCCTCTTCTCCTTAGACGGACAGAGCCCTGGTCGGGTGCGACGCATTTCGAGGGTAACTTCCTACGCCTGGCCAGCAACTTGCATTACCCTTGTCGGGTTGCACTTGTCGTGCTGCAAAGTTGTTTCTGGTGAGATGTGCATGTATTGCCTGTCGGCCTTGCGTTACATCATTGATAAGACGCTGAATTGCAGATCGCCTTGTCGGCTGGTGCTTCGTCGGCGCAAATCTGCAAACACTTAGCTTTGCGTTGGTGTGTGTTTGCGTCGATTCATAGACTGAATTTTGTATGATCAGTGCGTGCTGCTACCTCATTGAACTTGACAGGTGACATCTGCTTCCTCTGCAGACAATTTTGTGGTTCAAGATGGCGGACTTGCTCACCAGTGAGGCAGCCTTTAAGGAACATGCCGAAGCGTGTGGTCTGTCTGTTGCAAACCTCGCATCCTTGAATGGACAGGGCCTCAAAACCTTGTCAGGCCTTGCCTACTGTCTGACGGTCCCAGGAAGTCCCCCGGCTGAGGACGCCATCCGCAAACTTTTGGATTCGGCCAATCCTGCCAGTGTGAACTTGGCTTCGGTTGCTGCCTTGCGACGTCTCATTTCCGAGGCTCAAACGTTGGCAGTTGCTTTTGTCAAGACTGCTCTGGACGGTGGCCATGACTGTCAAGAACTCGTGCCGGCTGAGCGTGATAGTCGCATAGCTGCCCAAAAAGGGCGCCTCAAAAAAATGAACCTCTCTGGGTTCCTCGAACGCGGATACTCCTGCTATACCATGGTACAGGAACTGATTGATGCCAATTCTGTCATCTACCTGGACCCCCAGAAGATGATCACCCGGAGCCAGGAAGTCGGCGAAGAAAAGAAAGGCAAAGAACTCGTTCTAGTTCAGGATTCGAAGTTGACTGTCAGGGAGCCTGTTTCTAGGGAACGATGTGCCATTCAGAACGAGCTGCAGTTGTTCCAGGCCATGCAGAGACGTTCTCTGGCACTGGACCTCATGCGTGTCGCCAGTTACGAGGTCTCAGAACAGTGGCATCAGTACTTGATGGATCGCATGCTCCAGCCTGCCCCTCCCAGTTTCCGCAAACCAACCATTGAGCAGATCCTCCGCGCAGATAAGCAAGCCTGGCTCCGAATGGCAGAAGTTTGCAAGTCCATTAAGGCCCTTGCAGATGGATCCTTGCCCATGGATGCAGCCCTGAAGACCCTTACTGCTGATCCAACCGTGCTGTTCCACTTGCTGCCACTGCCTTTAGGTGCTGGAAGTGGGAAGGAGCCTACCGAGACCCCCAAGGGCCGTGGTCGTGGGAAAGGCGGCAACAAGAGAAAGAGTGACAACAAGGAGCCGTGGGGGTTCAACTGCAAGAGGTGCCAGTTCTCCAAGCCTGGAGGCATGTGCCGTCGAGGCGTCCATGTTTGCCTCTTGTGTGATGCAGAGCATGCGGTCTTGGATTGTCCCAAAAGGCAAAAAGAGTGACTGTCAGAGGGTGAGCAAGTCAGCCAGGACTAGCTCACCACCGAAGCATAACTTTCCTCCTTCCGGCGATCCGGTAGAGACTTCTGTGCCTCACGCTTCGCCAGCCAGTCTTGCAAGTTCACGTGCCCCTGCAATTTTGCATTCTGAACCTCGTTGTTCTGCCATTGTCCCGCCTCCTTGTGCTAAGGCTGAATTAAACGATCTCGACCCAGCCGAGAGCTTTGCATGTCAGTGTTTGAAACAGTCAAATTTTTCACGTGCCGCTGTAGCGCATCTGTTTTCTCTCCTTGAAAAAGATCCACCTCCGGCTAAGTTTGAAGCGCCCGATGCCCAGTCCTTCTCCGCAGGATGCTACGCCAAGGGAGGTATTGTGGGCCTTCGCAGTGCATGCCGAAAGTACCCTGTGGCCTGTGCCTTCCTGAATCAGTTCGTTCGCAGCGTTCGGCCAGACTTCAAGTACAGCAGCATCAGCCTCTTCCAAGACCTTCGTACTGGGCTCCATAAAGATTCCAGGAATGCCGCTGTCGACAATCTTTTGATTCCAATAAGTGACTTCGAAGGTGGGGGCATCTGGCTGGAAGGGTCTGGTTCCGACGTGCAGGTCTTGGATGGTAAACCCCTCACAGGCCGAAACGTGTCTGTCCAACCTTATGTTCAGTTTCCTGCTTACAGCAAGCATCACTGTACTCTCCCTTGGACAGGTACTCGCCTTGTCTTGGTGGCTTATTCTGTGGCTCGCCTTCATAGCCTCAAATCCTCGCGACCGCGAGGTAGTGCATTCCACAGGATTTCCCTTGCCTGAACACCTGCTTGAAACTTCAACTTGTGCACCTCCTCCTGAGCCGGCCTGCGTGGCCCCCAAAACTGAGGAGTTCCTTCAGCGGCTCAAGTCCCGTGTCCAAGGAAAGTGTTGCAAAGATCTCATCTTCATCGAAGTCTTTGCTGGATCAGCTGGCCTGTGCAGGGCTCTCAAGCAGTGTGGTTACTCCCAATCCCTCGCGGTTGATAAGGTTGCTAGTCCTCTGGCTAGGGCGCCCATAGTTACCCTGGACCTTTGCCAACCTGGTTCCCTCGCAATCCTCCTTAACCTCATCGAACGTGCATGCGTGGCTGGGATTCACCTGGCACCGCCCTGCGGTACAAGCTCCCGGGCAAGGGAGCTGCCTAACGGACCACCGCCACTCCGCAGTCTGGAGTTCCCTGATGGACTCCCGTCTTTGTCCGGTCTTGACGCCCTCAGGGTCAAGCAGGCCAATGAGTTGTACCGTGTCTCAGCTCTCATTTACAGCCTTTGCTGCAAAAAAGGGATCTTATGTCTGATAGAGAACCCGCGTCGTTCCCATTATTGGTCCACCCGGGACGTTGCGGCGCTTGGGGGCGACTACAGTCTGTATGCTTCCTGCCACCATTGCATGATGGGCAGCAAGAGGAGAAAGGCCACTATGCTCCTCGCCAATTTCCCCCGTGTGTGTCTACTGCGATTGATGTGCGATGGCTCTCACCCATGGGGCAACATAGGCCAGAAATTTGCCACCGCCAGTGAGACGGCTTATCCGCCCCTCATGTGTGCCTTGATTGCCCAAGCCTTCCACAAAGAGCTGTTGCACGCTGGCGTCTTGCCTGATTCAGACAATCTGCACGAGTCTGCGCCTTCTCTTGCTCGTGCTGCCAGCGTGGCTGTGGGAAAACAACCAAAGGTCAAGTCGTTGCCTCCCTTGATGCCAGAGTACGCTTGTGTGGTCAAGGTCACCTGTGCCCCTTCCGCCTTGCCGGCCAGTGCTTCAAGCCGAGTGGCCGGCCCCCAGTGGGGTATCCTGCGTGCCGCCTCTCAAGGTGCTGCCCGCCAAATCCCGTGTGATCAGTTCCCAGCCTATTGCCTGGGGTTCGCCTGATGGGTCCTGCTCCCAGGGTTCCTCTAGTTACCCGATGGTTGAATGTAGAATAGGCCTCCCATGGGTTCCTAGTGAGTTTGTCAAAAGTGCCTTGCGCCTGGAGCATCCAAACACCTTGGAGTGCAGTGTCCCGGCCCCGCTTAAGAAGACCATTGACCGGTGTCTTAATGAGGGACATGTCGCCATTGCTCGAGCCAGCACCGCAGCCTTACGCCAGTGGACTTTGAGAGCCAAGGCCATTGCAGACAGAGGCGGTGATGTCGAAGAAGGTGACGCCTTCCCTGAACATTGCAGAAAAGTGCTTGCTGGCAAGTCTATGCGCCTCTTTGGGGAAATGCTCG